AGGAAGGGTTTTTATTCTGCTCTAGGAGGATGCAGAACTCCTGACCTCCGTCTGGACAGTGCTGATTGGCCCTGTGCTGATCACATGCACTCTCCCAAGAAAAAAAAAAAACCTCTCTAGCAATACAAACCAAACTGAGCATGTGCAGAGCGACTCCACACAATATGTCTTATCAGGAGATAAGAGGGGACACTGGAAAAAGGGGAGGATCAGAGAAGTCAGGATCAAACAGCCTTTTCACACAATGCAGTAATTAATCTCTTGGGTTACACAGTGAGTATAACAAGCATGCTTTACTGCTTATACAGACTGATTTTACTGTTGTGAGTTTAGTAACACTTTAAATAGCTTTCCAACTTTTGCAAATAAGCAAATCTCTGGTGCAGCCTATTTCATAGTAAAAGCATTAGTCCTCATTCACACAATATTTAGTGTCAGCTGTGACAAGAATCCAGCACATTCCTGCGGCTGGATTCACAGGTAAATGTGGATAGCTGAGGCTGTTCAGGCTGTACAAAGCAATCACAGGTTCACAGCAGCCACAGCTGTCTGACGATGTTTGGATGTAATATTCCAATAAGCCCCAATGCTTGCCTGCAGGAAACTAGCCAGCCTCAGACATAAATTAACCAGCAAGAAACTTAAATCTGATTACATAAATGCAAAAAAGGGAACAAAACCTTTAAAAAATAAATTTTGCAAACTGTGTAGCCACATCAATCCATTAAAATGTGTGACACACACTGTGGTGTCATTCATTGCAACGAACGCAGCCAGGGATGTTACATTAGGGAAACAGGACAGAAATTACAAAAATAAAGAATCTACATAAACACTCCATAAAAGAATGGTAGAATGATTACTGCACACCTCTGCGGCATAATTTTTCACAACAAGATCACTATATGAAAGACATGACTGTTTTCTAGTTAAGATCCAGATACCAGTAAGACACTTAGGAAGCCTGAATCCAGGCGCAGGGGCCGACTGACAACTCATGGGGCCCCTGGGCAATAGGGGATCATGGGGCCCCTGTGTCCTTGCCCCCTACTGACCCTGGGCCCTCGGGCAGTGCCCGAGTTTCCAAATGGTCAGTCTGCCCCTGTCCAGGCGTAACGTGTATAAGGGTGGAGCTATTTCAGTGACGTCAGATCACGGCTATCTTCCGGTTGGGCGAGTCTATGGAAAGAAGTGGAGGTTGCTATATGTAGTTTTAAAAAAGCAATGTGATTGTCATAGCACTTTGGATGCGCTTTTATGTGAGTGTCATTTTATCTTTTGGTCTCATTAAATATTTTAAATGGAGAGTACTATTGTTCCCTTTTCTATTTTACATGACAAATAATGGTCACATGAAGTACAAGTTGCGGATTTGTGGAAGTGGCCCAGGAACGACTCTGAGTATAGCCCAGGAGAGGACACAAAGTGCATTTAACCTTGACTAACCATTAAGGTCAAATATTGAAGGTGAACACTCACTTTTCACAAGAGATGAGGCCAGGGCTGCTGTTAGAAACCATGGGGCCCCATAAAGCCAACCTGACAGCTCCCCTCCCCCTCAGAAAAAAACACTGCTTACTATTCTTCAGTTATTAATGAACACAGTGAGAGATCAGTACCGATAACTCACTGTGTTCATTCAGGAAAAGAAGGGTCTGGTAAACTTGACATATTTACCAGACCCTTCCCCCTCTCTCTATCCTGAAGGATCGTATTGTGTGCTTGTAGCTGCCGGTGGGAAGGAGAGGAGGGAAGCTGGCAACACTGTGGGGGTGGGGCCTTTGCAGCAAGGGGAAATGTATAATGCACAGGGAGAGTGATGAATGAGGTGGGGGCAATTTCTGGAAATGGTCCCCTGTAAAACTCCCACTCCAGCAGCTGACAGCCAGCGGGAGGAAGAGGAGAAAAATCCAGCTTTCAGCCTCTGCAGAGAGAGCCATACAGGGGATCGGTTCCAGTAATCCTCCTTTGCTGTGCCGATCACCCTCCCTGCCCACATCTGATTCACCCCGCTACCTGGGCCCCCCAATGGCCTGAGTCCCATACAGGAGGGTTGGTGGTACTCCCTTATCTACAGCCCTGTGGCATGTGGAACACGGGTGATATGTGATGAACAGGAACATATTTAGCTACATTGAGCACATTGGTGGTTGGAGCACAATTTATGGACTATTAATATTGTTTGGACTTTTTTGTTTATATTGAAGATGTTGCACTACATCTTAATTTATATTTTATTGATATAGAGATGGAATGAAAATATACAATGGTGTTTTAGCTGCAACATTAGCATTTGTATAGGGAATAATAAGGTTCATGGATTCATTTTGATTTGACTACGCTGATTGCCTTTGGTTACACATTTTGCAGTGACATGAAGGCTTTGGTTTCTAAAAGGAACTTTAAAAATACTCAGGAAATAAAAACCTTTGAACTACAAATGAGAAACCTGTTTGAAAAAGAGACAAAGGACTGAATGTGGACCTGTTTTCTCAATCACTATGAAGTAGTTTATTGACCATTCTCACCTCTGTGACCCCCCCCCCCCCCCAAACCTATTCCATAGCTTTCTTAACTACTACCTCTCTGACTTTCTTGCTTTTATCACTCTGTGTGTCCATGCATGTGTTTTTGCTCACAGATTGTTGTATTTGAAGATTTTTTCTTACACTGTTTCTGAGAAAAGAAAAATGAAAATACCTCACATACATACCCCTATCATTTGCCGTGACCTTAAAATGAACACCTTTGCAGCAAAATTACTGTACGGGACATTTATGTATTTATAAATATAACTGTATTTTATTATAATTTTCATTATATACAGTATTCACTTCAAACGTTATAATATAGCTTCCAAGAATTGTAAGAAAACATACAGTAGGAGACTATATTAAACATGTTATACATTTAAATATTTTACAAACAACATAGTGAATTCAATATATCATTATTTATTGATAATTATTCCATGGGACGTTTTAGCAAAGTACACTGCCCTTTTTTAAGCAAGAAACATTTATATATCATTGTTTTCAACACAAATTTAAGCCAATGGGTGGTGTGCCTTGCTTGTGGCTCTATAAGCTATGCTTCTGAAAAGCTTTCCTTATATGTGCAAAACCATGCTCTCTAACCACCTTAAAATCACAATTACAGTTGTAGCGCTACCCTCGTGAGGGCCTCTGTGTTTCAGGTACCTCTAAGCTCTGCACAGCTAGGCAACATGCACCTTCCACACTTTCATCCACAGTCAGTGAATGGTCCATGAGCTTGGTTTTGTTATCTTATTAGGGGAAATAACTTGGATAGGGTAATAGGGATTATGGGATGAATCAGTAAAGAGGGAACAACTTACTTCCTATTTATAGAAACAGATCCTGGACTGTTCTTTTCCTTGAAAGCCATCAGTCTTTGTGTATCAGTAGCAACAGCCATTTATGGGCAAGGAACTAGAAGCCCCTCAAAATTCAACCTTTCTCCTCTCCCCTGTAGAACTGCTCCCAGCTCCACAGCCTGCAAACACTACCAGCACTCCTGGCTGTTCTGAAGATCTCTCAGAACAAGGATAAAGGATTGAGCCCAGTGCTGTCCTTCGAAAGCTTGCTACCTGTGGCAGTCTTTCCCCTTGTGGATCCCTGGGTGTGCTGAAGTACTCATTCTGTCCTCCTTGCTCCCACTGCTTCCAGGCTTCGATTCCATTCATTCTGCATGCCTGAATGTATCCTCCTGAGCCAGCCCGAGCTTTGCCTGGAGGCTGCCCCCCTCCTTAGACCTAGGGGACCCCTACTAGGCACCGACAGTCTCCTCAGCACTCCATCTTCCACACGTCCCCTGTCAGCCTGACTCTCCCATATTTATAGCCCGTCCACCACTCTACCAGGGTCTGCAAACCTGGGATTGGCCAGACTCACATAAACATGCAGATTAGGTCCTCCACCCCTTCCTGCTTACCGACTTAGAGCAACAACCTGTTAAGTATTCTAGCTGACCAGCAGTAACCCGATCTCAATCACAGACTCTCACAGTTACCATGAGTCACACACAATGATTTTATCTGCAATATACTACACTATTCTAGTAGCACACTAGAGGGTGCTACACATTCTAAAGGCTAAATAACCCTTTCTTCCTCCTGAAGCTTAGTGTCAGGGATCGCCATGACGCTGGTCCCGGCGCAGGCGCAGTGTGTCGTCTCATGCAGGGATGCAGGCACTAGGTCCCGGCCAGCCGCGGCGACGGAGTCTGTGCATGCGCGCTAGCGTTCATGGGTGCGCGCCAGGCACCAATGATTTGTGGGTCCATTTCGTGTGAAGCGTATGATCAACAAAGTGGCATACGAGTTTATTCTTCCGGAAACCTTCAAAATCCATCCTGTATTTCATGTTTTTCTGCTAAAACCAGTCGTACCAGATCCATTCCCGAATCGGGAGTCCGGACCTCTAGAAGCAATAACTATTGAAGATCAAGAGGAATTCGAGGTAGAAGCAATTCTAAAGTGCCGAAAGAGGGGGGGCCAGACCCAGTTCTTGATCAAATGGAAGGGCTATGGCCCAGAGGAGAACTCCTGGGAACCAGCTCAAAATGCTCATGCCCCTAGACTTATCCGGGAGTTCTTTCGGGGCCACCCACGGTGGAGGGATTGGTTGGGCACCCGAAGGTTACCCGTAGGAGGGGGGCAATGTCAGGGATCACCGCGATACTGGTCCCGGCACAGGTGCAGTGCGCCGTCTCATGCAGGGATGCGGGCGCTATGTCCCGGCCAGCCCGCGGCGATGGAGTCTGTGCATCCGCACTAGCGTTTCGTGGGTGCGCGCCGGGCACCAATGACAGCGCAGGGCGCGGTATTTAAATCCCCCCTGTGCTGTCACTAGTTGCCGAATGGTCTTTCCCTGCTACCTGTGTTTCTGAACCTGTATTGTGAGTATTATTGACCCGGATTGCCTGACCTTGCTGACTTCTCCTATCCTGACCCCTGGCTTGCCTGACCTCGCTCCTGAATGCCCCTCTATAGATCTGACCTCCTGTTACTGACCTGGCGTGTGACCCGACCATTCTCTGCCTGCTGCATTGTACCGCACCGACCCCCTGGCTACCGACTTGGCTTGTCTGACTGTGCACTTGCTCATCCATCCGTCCGTCCCACCGGGATCTCCCGGCCTCCTCACATCAGGCTCTCACCCTGCGGGAGCCTCTGGCGGACTCCTCTACCACTCTTGGGTGTACCCGGTAGTCGCGACCTGGTGTCAAGGTCCTACCTTTTCCCTGAGGTTGATGTTACTCCATGTGCTGGCGTCCATCTTGGATTCTGCTGTGCATGATGGGAATCCTTTTTATGCCTTCAGGTCTCTGAGGTCCACCCCCCAGAGGGGTGTGGCTGATGACATATAAGCCTGTGGCCCGCACATGCTCTTTGCACTTGTGTCTTGTCTCTTTGTGTGTTACTATTACTCTGTTCTGACTCTGGTGACTCTCCTGGTATTCTGATTCGGCTTGTGACTTGACTATTCTTTGTATTCTCCTTTGATCTGACCCTCTGTTGCTGAACCCGGCTTGTGACCTGTGATTCTCGTCTGCTGTCCTGTACTGTTTTGTCCTGTTGTTGTTGACCCCGGCTTGTCTGACTACTCTTTTGTTTCTTCCACCAGCTACACGCCATTGGCGGCGGCCATTACCGCAGCTGAGGTGTCTCGGGGACCGCGACCTGGTTCCTGGCTGCGTCAAGTCCATCCCCACCATCAGGGGCTCTGGTGAAGGGCAGCCTGGGACTTAGACTCCGCGCCCTGAGGGACTTCGGTCTGTGGGTGGTGGTTGTCGTCAGCCAGTGCGTTACATTGTTAGGCCTGCCTGTCTGTTCCTTGGCTCCTGCCCTGACACCTGGTCTCGGTACACTCCAAGTCCATCCCCACCATCAGGGGCTCTGGTGAACAAGTGATCCGGGACTTAGACTCTGCGCTCTGGGGAAACCTGATCAGTGGGCTGCTAGAGGTGCCGCCAGGTGGTCCCTTACACTTAGATTGGACTGAATTCATACATTCTTTGGATTCACACATAATTTCACTACTAATACTTGCTTTTCCAAGATGGCATCCACCCTGCCATCATTTCACAATATACCATGTCCTCCCTCAAAGAGTCCATCCTGAGGAGTCCTCCTTCATCTCTTTGTAGACCTGGTTCAATTCTTTCTAAATCATCCAAGAGACTTGGAGCTTTATGGTATATATCAGATCTCTCTATTCTTACTAAGTCCTAGAGCAATACACTAGGGGCATTTCTAGCCTGAATCAAGACCTTCTACATGGAAACTCTCAAGAAAGAGGCTGAGAACTCCACTAATACTACTCATGAGAAATTAAATATTCCTCTGACTTTTATATATGAGAGTATATATAATGTAATATAATACTTTATAGTAGTATATAATAATGTAATATTGTTGTCACACAAGTTTCCTTAAATTTAGGGCTGAGTCTAGAACTGGCTCTCCTTTCCTCACACAAAGAGAGCATGTGAGGAGAAGGAGTGCTAATGTGTTAGTTGCAAGTGATTGTACTGTGATTTTACTGTGTAAACACACACACAAAGAACATTTACAGAGCCTGATTGCAGCCACACCAGTGTAACATACACCAGTGCAGCATCAACACCTCTGAGCATCCCCCGTGCACCATCAGCATCAGTCTCAGTGTCCCAGTGCACTAAAAACATCTGTCACAGTGTCCCCAGTGCACCATGAACATCTGTCAGCATCCCAGCACTTCATTAACATCTGTCACAGTGTTACAGTGAACCATCAACATCTGTCATAGTGCCTCAGTACAACATCAACATCTGTCAGTGTCCCAGTGACCCATCAACATCTGTCAGAGTCACAGTGCACATCAACATCTGTCAGTTTCCCCAGTGTACCATCAATATCTGTCAGTGTCCCCAGTGTACTGTCAACATCTGTCAGTGTCTCAGTGCACCATCAACATTTGCCATAGTATCCCCAGTGTACCATCAACATCTCTCATAGTGTCCCAGTGCACCATCAGCATTTATCAGTGTCACTAGTGCACATCAATCCTGGTCAGTATCACAGAGCACCATAAACATCTGTTGTTGTCCCCACTACACCATCAACATCTGTCATAGTGTCCCAGTGCACCATCAGCATTTATCAGTGTCACTAGTGCACATCAACCCTGGTCAGTAGCCCAGAGCACCATCAACATCTGTCAGTGTCTCCAGGGTCTCCAGAAATGTGATAGGCAGTCAAGAAATTAGATGTGTAATTTATGCCCCTAGAACATCTAATGATGCTCCTTGGATATTGGGCCCCTCTATGTGGCTAGGCTCTGAGAAAAGTCTCACACGTGGTATACCCATACTCAGGAGGAGGAGCAGAATTTGTTTTGAAGTGTAATTCTATGTATGCCTAGGATGCGTATTAGAAATATCTTAGAAATTGACAAAATACATTTTCATTTTCTTTCTACATTTTCTAACAACATGTGGTAAAATATTGAAATTTTCAAAAGACTTACCATGCCACTTAGAAAATTATTTGAGGTCATTTTGTGTGTTTATCCACTGTGTTGGTGCTCCAGGGCCCCAGAAAATTTGATAGGTAGTCAGAAAACTAGATATGTAATTTATGCCTCTAGAATGCCTGAACGTGCTCCTTGGATACTGGGCCCCTCTATGTGGTTAGGCAGTGAAAAAATGCTCACACATGTGGTGTCCCCATATACAGGAGGTTTAGAGGAATGTGTTCTGAGGTGTAATTATAAGTATGAGTATGCTGTGTGTGAGAAATAACTTGTTAGAATGACAATTTTGTGATTTCTTAAAATTTACTTTCAGAATTTTCAAACGAATTGTGGGAAAAATTACAGCTACATACTTAGGAATGTCTGCTTTGCAAAAAGGGGTCCTGTGGGAGGTATTTTTACTGTCTTGGTACTTTAGGGCCTCAAGAAATTAGATAGGCAGTCAAAACATCAGGACTAATCAATTTTCAAGTATACAGTATATACCATAGTTTTTAGACTCTTTAACTTTCACACAGACTAAATAATATACACCTGTTTTTAATATTTTCACCAAAAAATGTAGAATACATTTTAGCAGAAATTTATGAAGAAATATTATTTATTTGTAAAATTGCTTAGCAAAAACTGATAAAAAATTGTATTTGGGTGTTGTGAGTAATTGTCATTCAAATTATGACAGTGCTGACAATTGAAAAACTGTAAACAATGCCTGGGCAGGAAGGAATGAAAGTGTCTAGTCTTGAGGTGGTTAAAAAAACTGAGATCTCTTTTATTTTTTTTTCAGCTGAGTTTAGAAAAATATGTTGGTGCTGTGTGTTTAGTGTAGGCAGCAATTACCCTTAAAATTTTAACTTTGATGGTGTCTGCTCCAAAGCTTTGAGTCGTAAACATCCACTTACAGTAATTCTGCAAAAGCAATAAAACCTTTAGTGAACCACAAAAAAGGGTATAATCAAGACTGACACACTGATGACCTGGCAGATAAAATGTAAGCAGGGAATATAAATATACTGATATGCAGGATAAAATATGTGTTTTGAGTTGATCATATTTTATTGGGATAAAATATTGCCATATTGATAAAAAAATTATGTATGTTACTTCTCACGCTGAATATGGACATTTACTTTCATACAATATCTACCCCTCAAGCTCCAAGAAACCTTGTGTTTAAAAAGACTTACCTGCGATCCACCAATCTCTGGGTCTGTTCCTGTTGTGAACCTATAGGTAGAGGGGTTCATCTTAGAAGTGTGAGATAAAATCTTGCTGTAAAGAGCATAAAGCAAAGCCTGGCAGTAAACTTCAGCATTATGACCTAAGCATCAGTTGATTAAAAGTAAGTATTGTTACACACAGGGCTATCCAGGAAGACATAGGGTGATTTTGTGAAACATACACTGTACATCCTCTGTGTGGACAACTTTGACCGAGAACAAACTTGATTGTTCCCACTTTGGCAGAATCAGTTTTGCAAAATTCAATTTTCCCATTGAGCTGCTCCTTTTTATTCTTTAATTTAAAGGGTGTATGTTTTTGGTGTCAGCATATTTAGGGTAGAATTCATTTATTTTACTGTTCTTTGTAATTTCCCCCTATTTTGTGTGTGTATTTGCATACTGTTGCATTGAGTGTTTTACTTTTATCTACTGTTTGTATCTTTCTGTGAAAAATGCAGAATAAAGTGGCTAATGAGTGACTGCAGAACAGGTCAAAGAAGGTTGAAAAGGTCTTCCGTAATTCCCAGCAACCTTTTTAAATCTTAATGCATCAATACAGCCATTTTTTTTTGTTTTGGATAGTGATGGACTTAAAATATTGTGTTCGATTGTGAAGATTTCCACTAGGATGCAACAGGAAGTGATAGGAAATCCCCACAAAGTGAGGGGAATTCCATCCATTCACAACTGTCCTTAGAACAAGTATTGAAAGACATAAAAGTATAAAGATGTCAGTGAGTGCAATAGGATAAATGAGGATGAGCTGCTAGCACTAAAGGACTACTCTTTGTATCCTCAATAGGAAATAGTGCAAAAAAGTGCAGCGCTAATGGAAAGGAGCAGTGTGTTAAATGTACCCCAAAATTCAATATAAATAATAACCATGCACGGAGTGACTAAAAAATTAAATAGGCAAAATAGATAAATGCAGTGAAGCGCTCTGATCAGTGCTATGGTGACATAAATATATGCAATCATCACGCTGAAGTGCACTAATGGTATAATCGAAGTACTGTGAATAAAGAGACGCCCTGGAGGAAAAGTGCAATGGTGACAATAAATGGTGACTGTAATGGAATGAATATACAAATAATCAATGCAGACAAATATAGAGTCCAAATAATGAATAAATCCAAATGTAGATCGAGACTTCCCCCCTGGAGGAGCCTGCACATTGACGTCACAAACCGCCGTGTCCGCATGATGGTCCGGCGGCCATCTTTGTGAGTGGTTTATACTACCATTTGTTTTACTTCATGTGGATATCTTCAATTTTCAATAAAATTACTACACTATTAGCCATTTTTCTCTGGGCTCTTTCTGTGAGCTGATTTCTTCAGGACCTGTGCCATTACTTACCTTTGTGGCTTGATTGCTGTGCTGGAGATATTCCCTAATCGGATGCATCTCAGTTTCCACTTGCCTGTGCCGGATGTGAATATATATTTGCCTGCAAAGGAGGGTGCTACATTTGCTGTTTTGTGCATTTTTTATGCGCTTCAGGTGAGTGCCTATAAAAGGTCTTTTTCACGGATTCACTGATCAAAGGAAGTCACGAACTGCATTTAGATTCATTCATTATTTGGACTCTATATTTGTCTGCATTGATTATTTGATTATTTGTATATTCATTCCACTACAGTCACCATTTATTGTTACCATTGCACTGTTCCTCTAGTGTGTCACTTTATTCACAATACTTTGATTATACCATTAATACACTTCAGTGCGATGATTGCATATATTTATATGTCACCATAGCACCGATCAGAGCACTTTACTGCATATACAGTGGGGCAAAAAAGTATTTATTCAGCCACCAATTGTGCAAGTTCTCCCACTTAAAAAGATGAGAAAGGCCTGTAATTGGCATCATAGGTAGACCTCAACTATGAGAGAGAAAATGAGAGAAAAAAAAAAAAATCCAGGCAATCACATTGGCTGATTTGGAAAGAATTTATTTGCAAATTATGGTGGAAAATAAGTATTTGGTCACCTACAAACAAGCAAGATTTCTTGCTCTCACAGACCTGTACCTTCTTTTTTAAGAGGCTCCTCTGTCCTGCACTCATTACCTGTATCAATGGCACCTGGTTGAACTTGTTATCAGTATAAAAGACACCTGTCCACAACCACAAACCGTCACACTCCAAACTCCACTATGGTGAAGACCAAAGAGCTGTCGCAGGACACCAGAAACAAAATTGTAGACCTGCACCAGGCTTTTTTAGCCCACTGTATCTATTTTGCCTA